TGATCATTCATGTGTATATTTGAAATAACTAATATCATTGATGATTTCATTGGTAGGTCACTGCAAGACTGACTGAGCTAAAAACTACTATTGATGTTGGTCTTGATCACCGTGACAATGTCTTGCGCACCATTGGATCACAAATTGAACAATGGCATCATTTGGTTAGTTTTTAGCAGAGCTGTCCTTACGCTGCTTTTATCTGGTTTTCCTCTTCTTCATTAGTTAAGAAACTACATTAGACATTGATTATTGCTGTTATTTTGGTATTACTTTGTTTGTAGGTTAAGAAGGAGAAATCCATTTATCATACCTTGAATATGCTCAGTATAGATGTGACAAAGAAATGCCTTGTTGCAGAAGGCTGGTGTCCAGTTTTTTCGACAAGAAAGGTCAGAACTGATTACCATGTCATTGTTTAAGTTATGATCGAGTGTTGAAATCAGCTGTTCATACTCTTCACAGAGCTATATATTTGAGAAAAATTGTATTGTATTCTGACTGATCTACAATCTACCTCACAGATTCAAGATACACTTCAACAAGCAACATATGATAGCAACTCACAAGTTGGGTCAATATTCCACACTCTGCCAACAAAGGAATCTCCACCAACTTTTTTTCGCACGAACAAATTCACTAGTGCTTTTCAAGAAATTGTGGATGCATACGGGTGAGTTTTGTGTTGGGTGCAAAATTTGAACTTACAATGACAATAAGCTAAATGTCTGTTAGAACTCTCAATATTTTATTAGTTTGTTGGATCTCCAAGACTCCAAATTCAATACCTATTCATCACCTTGAGTATTAGGTAAGTATATATATAGCTAGATAGGTTGGGAGTGTCCTTTTAAAACACTATCTGAGTTTGGCCTTGGGTTAAGCCAGGGAGTGGACATGGGCCATTAATTTAACAAATCTCAGTTGGAGGGCATGGAGCAAAACTAATCCCACCTTCCCTTTCCCATGGAACTTGGCAATGAGAAGTTGAACAAGGGCCTTTATTCATTCACCATTTGGAATTTTACTTCATGAAATCCATTTTGCATTTATTTCCTTTTGAGCATAAATTGACCATGCATGTGAAAAGAGCTACTTTGAACTCTATCTACATGGGAAGTTGCAAATTAATTTCAAGTTATTGGCTGAAGAGATAACTAACTGGAATGGTGCATAGTTTTTGTGAATATGAATTATAACTTCTCAGCATCGTCTGCATACAGCTCCTATTTAGCCCCACCCCCCAGATCTATCTCAACTTGATCCCTATGCAATTTTGGTGAATAATACTCTTATTTGTTCTGTTGCAGTGTTGCTACCCCACTCCCCCCCCCCCCCCCCGAACAACAAGTTTGTCTATTTCAACCTGATTCCTATTCAATTTTGGTCAATAATACTTTGATTTGTTCTGTTGCAGAGTTGCTAAGTACCAGGAAGCGAATCCGGGTGTATACACAATTATTACATTCCCTTTTCTATTTGCTGTAATGTTTGGTGACTGGGGCCATGGTATATGTTTATTATTAGCAACAATGTACTTGATCTTGAGGGAAAAGAAGTTCTCCAGTCAGGTAAGATGGTTCTCTTGAAAATTTATTCTAGTTACATTCTTGATCAGTTAAAGTTGTATAACTTACTGAGTTTTAGCTTATAGCTTGGTTTTATCTTTGAAGCATTAACACCAAAAAAAGGCTTGAGGCCTGGTAATGATTTTGTTTCATCTATGTTGCTTGGACTTTTTAGAAGTGACTGACCATAAAGTTATAGTTTTCAAGGACAAGTGAAAATCCATTTGAGTTGTAGATGTGTGTGGGACTTGGATTGAGTAGGGTAATTCTTGAGTTAGATTTTTAAATTTGTCTATTAGATATTGCCTCTATTATCTCTTTTGGCAATGCTTGCTGTTCTCAATTTCTTACCTTTGTTATGTCCAATACTGTAGGCTAACAATTCTTTGAACTTCTAACTTTGGATTATGTGCTTATTAAAAATCGCTCGGAAAATATTTCTTTGTGCTTTTCTTTTTATTTTCAAGTAACAAACACCAAAGATTGCTGGTTTAGATCAAGGGCCAATTGATTATTGCCTTTATTATAGCAAGGCTTAGGCTACACATATCTGTCCACCGAACAATCCCTTCCCCCCTCTCCAACACCAAATCCTGCCTTGGGTGTGAGCTCAAGGCATTGGGTTAATCCTGATGCTAATGGCCTAATGATGATTATGATTTTTAATAAATAAACTACATTGATTGCTACTGTCTGCAATGAACATATTCAGCTTATAATGAAGTTGTTTGATATGGGATTGCCATCATGTCTATATATAATGTTTTGTGTAATATTTGAGAGTGAAGTTGATATTGGAGTATGATTTTTGTGCAACTATTTTTGAAATTTGTTTTATTTTGTTATTTGAGTGGTAACTTTTAAATGGTTCACACTTCACACCACCATAACTTTGAGCTTCTTGATCATAGTCATCATACCAAGGTCCATTTAAATTTTTTGTAGGTAGCTTAACTTCCAGTATAGCATGTGATACTGGTGCTATATAATTTTATTACCTGGTTTAAATTAGAGACATGTCTTTTAATGGGATTAACCTATTAAGTTTAGCAGGATGACATGGCTGAAAAAAAACTTGGCCACAGCTCCTGTTGATTGTTTTTCCTTTTGCTAGATAACGTTACAAGTTGCCTTTCTTGTTCTGTAATTGCTTACGAGATTTTAAATTTTAATTTCTATTTATGTTTGCTTTTGCTACAAGCAGAAACTTGGAGATATCATGCAGATGGCATTTGGTGGTCGTTATTTAATCATGATGATGGCTATATTTTCTATATACACTGGATTGATTTATAATGAATTCTTTTCACTCCCATTTGAGCTGTTTGGACAATCTGCCTATGCTTGCCGTGATCCTTCATGTCGGTAGGAACTTTGACCTTCTGTGTTGTGCCCTTTTTTCTCTCTCTCTTTTTTTTTTTAAATCCTCAGTAATTGATGTGTTGGTCCTATGTAATATGTATATGGCAGGGATGCTTCTACTTCTGGTGTTATAAAAGTACGTGACACATACCCATTTGGGGTGGATCCTGTATGGCACGGGAGCCGTAGTGAATTGCCATTTCTAAATTCTTTGAAGATGAAAATGTCGATTCTTCTAGGAGTGGCACACATGAACCTTGGGATCATATTAAGCTACTGTAATGCAAAATTCTTCAAAAGTGACCTGAATGTCTGGTAATCAAAAGAGTGACTTAAATTTTCAATTAACATTCTTGTGTAGTAAGATGCACATATCGTCCCCTCATTTGTTGACAATGCTTCTTGTGAAAACTGCTTGTCCAGGTATCAGTTTGTTCCCCAGATTATATTTTTGAACAGTCTATTTGGCTACCTTTCATTCCTCATCATTGTCAAGTGGTGCACTGGCTCTAAAGCTGATCTATATCATATTCTAATATACATGTTCCTTAGTCCTACTGATGACCTTGGGGAGAATCAACTATTTTTTGGTCAGAAATTTTTCCAGGTAACCTTGCTTAACATCTTTCATACTTTCATTATAGTCCTCCCAGAAGATTGATTGGTGTCATGACTTCTGACATTTGTTGCCCTGACTTGCCAGATTCTGTTGCTCTTGCTGGCCATTGTTTCTGTACCATGGATGCTATTTCCAAAGCCATTTATTTTGAAGAAGCAGCATGAAGAAGTATGCTAACTTCACAACTTCTCAATGAGTTAATTATTGTTCACTTTCTTTTGTAATCTTTCAGTTTTGTTTGCGCTGTTAATCTGTAATATAGAGAACTTCTCCTGATGTATTGCACCCTGTAAATTAACATTTTTTTTTCTTCAGAGACACCGAGGTCGTTCCTATGCACTTCTTGATAATGCTGATGATTCCTTGGATTTTGAGATGGAGCATGATTCACACGGGGGGCATGATGAATTTGAGTTCAGTGAAATTTTTGTTCACCAACTAATACACACCATAGAATTTGTGCTTGGAGCAGTCTCAAATACAGCTTCATATCTACGTTTATGGGCTCTTAGGTAGGTTATTAATAATCTCTCTGTCTCATAATAAGCTTCATACACTTGATGCTGCTTAATTATTGTCAATGTGCTGAGGTTTATCTGTCTTAATGTTACTTGTTTGCAGTCTGGCGCATTCAGAATTGTCAAGTGTATTTTTTGATAAAGTGTTACTTCTGACCTGGGGGTATAACAACATTTTCATCCTCGCAATTGGTATTATTGTTTTTATATCTGCTACTGTTGGAGTGCTATTAGTGATGGAAACTCTGAGTGCATTTCTACATGCTATGCGGCTTCACTGGGTAGAATTTCAGAATAAGTTCTTCGAGGGAGATGGTTATAAGTTTCAACCATTCTCATTTTGTCTCGATGACGAAGATGAATGATGCTACTATTACTTTATTTGGAGTTCAGTAGCTGCTGAGCCAGGAATGTTACCTTTGACAACTTCCTCAACCGGCTTTGCATCTGTGTTGTTTATGTATAACATAGTTGGAGATCTAAACCATTCTCATTTTCGGTTGCCATCCTGATCGCTGGTAGCAGATTATGTACATTGACATCACTGCGTGGTGGGATCCCATGTAAACGAATCAAGCATACCTGGAAATTCTTTCTACATAGAATACGCGCTAGAAGCTGATTATACACTATACATGTAACTTCATTGCTACCTACAATGAAATCTCACGTCAAGTCACATTTTGCTATTTGGTGCACCAGACGAGTTTTGATTAGTCTTGTAAAGTTTTGTAGGTAGTTAAAACAGTGCTCCATCTCAATTTCCTTATATTCTTTAAATCTAAAGGCAAGATTTTTATACTATTGATTATAGCCATTTATTAAATCATTATTATTTGTGATTTTTCCCAGTCCTTGCAATTCACAGTATGTAACATCGTCATAACTTGTGCCATTCCCTGGATCGAAAGGCATAGCATATTAGGGCATATGTCAAAAATTCATACACCAGTCATACACAGCAATTTTATCTGTTAAACACGACAACGCTAGGATAAAGCAACATAAAACCAAAAGCGTACTTAGTTACATTGTTTTCAGTTTTGCATCCTAATATAAGTCACTCAATGCTCCTCGAGGACTAAAGTTTAAGATAGATATAATGTAGAGCTTTAAACAAATTCACCGCAATTGGAACAGCAGCAAACGTGTATTTACAATGGATGTCCACTAATAATACGGACAATGCCAACACAGTCATTTCAACTTTACTGGGTAGATTGAATGTTCACAGCAGCTACAGTCGAGACCATGGAGTCCACACCACAGACATTGTGGCCTCGGCAGATTTTGTAGTAGCCATGATCTCCCCAGTTAGGGCCCCATGAATTCTTAATGATCCAGTATGGCTTTTCCTTGAACCTAATAGGAGCATACCCGGCAGACCCGTATCCAACCAATAGCACTCCATGGTCCAAACTCCTCAAGCAAATCAATGGGCAAGAAACTCCACCAATATATGTTTGCATGGCACCTGCATGAATTCCCACTGCAACAAACAAAAGAAAAACCAGTTAAGCAACACAATATTGATTGATTGATTGATTTAAAAGACGGTGCAAAATAATGAGACATTCAGGCATAGATTTATACCTGCAAGAGGACCATTCTTCACCAAATTGGCAGCTATTTGGTCTTCATTAAGGGCGACCACACTAAAGTTAGCCACTGTTGCAGCAACCTTACTTTTGTCAAATTTGCAGGTGCCACGGTCAGTACCAGTGTAAGGATAGTCTTCCCCACGCTGAATACCACCAGACTTCAGTACGTACTCAAATGCATTATTCATCAAACCACCATTGCAGCCAGCGTCGCATGAGTTACGTTCTTCAGGATCACACTGCAAAAAGAGAACAATGCATCAGAACCTTCACTTCAATACAAAAAGATAAGCAGATTAGGCTTGGTCCTAATACTGAGTCTATTTATAGTATTTTATATCAAATTTTTTTGGTAAAACTTATTGTCATTATAATCATTTAACAACCGTGCATTGCACGGGTTTAACCTAGTTATGACTATTAATCTATTATAGATGGATTGCTAAGTACAAAACTCCCAAGTCCCAATAGCATTACTGATTACTGTCAATCCCTTCCTCTAGAATTATATATCAGATGGATTCAGTATCCGCCAAGGGCCACGTTAATGCAAACTAATACTCGTATAAAGTACCTAGCTTGGTTTTAAGTAGGAATGCTGGAAGCATGTGCAGCTAATTAAGACCATGTGTACATCAATGGTGTACATATAGGCATGAATACGTCCATTTCAGGCAAGACATAGTACCCTATCAGAGAATATATATGCATCACATGATACAAGCTCAACAGGAATCAAACAAGCGTACTGGTAGGGTTTAAACTTTCAATAAGATTTTTTACTGTTGAGAGATGTATAAAATCCCAAACAATATATAGACAACATGTGGGGGTTAGAGTCACACAGTGTCCTTCCTAGAAGATGCCTTATTTGTTTCTTTTCTATGCCCATAGAGTCTCATAAAGTCATAGCAACTTTGCAAAAATATATACAAGTGACAACTCTCTTACACAAGGACTGTAATTTGATACCTTTCTTCTAATATAAGAAAAAATTGGGACTACAACAACTAAGAAATAATCTTTAAAAAGCATCAACAAACAAAACCTATATTTATAACATCATAAGCTTACATTTTTCAACTATGATGTTAATCAACTATGATATTAATCAATTTAACATCCATCCATATGCAACCAATAGGTTTATACTTCGTATAAGCTTATACTCCGTCAACAAAAACATTAGAGCACCAGCAACAAACAAGACAATGCATCTATATAACATCATAAGCATATATTTACAACTACAAAAAAATATCGAGAAACTAAAGCTGATACTAATTATCGTATACACAAATAGAAACTGATTTCAAAGAAAGAGCAAGAGCACTGACCTCATGGTCACAATCTACCAATTGTTGCTCACTCAGACTAACGAGTTTACCAGTTGCAAGATAATTAGCACCTTCTAATGCTCCTGTGGCACTGAAAGACCAGCATGATCCACATTGACCCTGAAATTGTTCCATAAAATTAACATTATATCGAGTTGTAGTTATAATAATCCATTTACAATCAAAATTTATACAAGTCAACCCTATATCATTCCTCCAAACTATTAAAAAATTAGTTACAGAGTACTAAAACTATTCTGATATTATCATCAAAATCATTATATCATCGCCCCTTTTAAAACAAATTTGAACGGTTTCGATCATTTCTTAATCGATTTTCGCAGCTTAATAGTTAATTCTCACAAAACTCATAGCTTAATTTGGCAAACATACATAGCTTTACAACATCAAAATAATAATCAGCTCATCAAAAGATAATTCCAAAGAAAAATCACAAAATTCACAGACAAATAAAGCTGAAAAAAAATTAAACAATTAATATAATTTGAACTACTTCGTTCATTACTGATTGAATTTTTCGCAGCTTAATAGATGATTTTCGCAAAATTAGCTATATTACTTTACAAAATCAAAAAGTAAGCTAATCAGGTAATCAGAAGATAATTCCACAGAAAAAACACAAAAATCAGAGAAAAATAAAGCTGAATTAGAATTAAACAACAAAAAAACACAATTAATTTCAAGAATTAATATACCTGATCTTTGACCTCAGTAACAGCACCATGTTCACGCCAATCAAAATCCTCAGGAAGACCATCAGTAGGTAAAACGGGAGCCTTATTCGCATCAGAAGGAAGTCTCAACTTCCTCCTACCACCTTTCAATCCAAGGTACTTCTCTCTAAACTCCTTCGGAGTAAGATCGGAAAACTTTGTAACACCATGAACAGCAGTAGGATCAATCGCCTGATGACGTTTCGCACGACGAAGATTCGCCCTAAAAATCGAGAATCGACGATCATGTTCTTCCTGAGATGAATACCTCTTGTTAAACTTCGATTTGAAGAGAGAGAAATGATGATCGGCGTTCAAGAGAAGATCGTCGTTGTTGTCTCCAACGGCGGCGGTGGAGGATTCTCCGGCGACGACTTGCCGGATTATGATGTCATCATCGGAGGAGGAGGAGGTTGCGATGGCTGAGGAGAGAGAAAGGATTAAGAGGAGAGAGAAAGTGAGTAGAGGAGACGACGCCATTGAAGGAAGAGGGGAGAGAAAGTGAAGGTTTGGTGGAGAGAGAAAGGGAGTATTGTGTGGTGTTATATGATGGGTTGATGAGACCGAGAAGATTGGGATGTTAAGCCGGTGTGATTTTGACACGTGTTGAGTTGAATTAATCAATGGTGTGTGATTGGGGAGAGATTATGAGGTGGGGTTAAGGGGGGTTGGGAAATGGTTTTGTTTACGCAAGCTGAATTTGCTGATATTTTCAAAGGTTTTTAGATATTTTTTTTATAAGGATAATGATGTTAATATAAAGTATCTAATAAACTTTGTGATATTCGCTTGCTTTGAATTTTTATTATAAAATGAATTATTAAATTTGTTTCTCATATTTATATAAAATTCGTAATATATTAATTAATTAAAGCCTTAATCCCATAAGTGGGGTCGGCTACATGAACCAAATTCGATTATTCCGTGTAAAAAACAAAGATCCTCCTCCTCCATCCCTTATAATCCATATACTTTATATCCTTCCGAACTCTTTCCAACCAAGTCATTTTCGGTCTCCCTCTCCCTCGTTTAACTCCTCTATGGTCCCACTCTTCCACTCTTCGTACCAGTGCACACTCGAGTCTCCGTGTTACATGCCCAAACCAACGCAGACGATTTTCTCTTAGTTTATCTGCAATGCCTGCCACACCTACCTTCTTGCGAATAACCTCATTTCTGATTCTATCTCTTAGAGTGTTCCCGCATATCCACCTTAACATTCGCATCTCCGTAACCTCCATCTTTTTAGTGTGCTCCTTTTTAGAAACCCAACACTATGTACTATAGAGCAACACTGGTCTTATGGCAGTCTTGTAGAATAAAAAGATGATATTTGATTTCACAAAGTTTAATATGTGGCTGGTCACACCGTGCGGTAGGGATTACTTAGTCAGGAGTTACTTGGTTGGTCAAGGGTTATTCAATCGATCAGGAGTTACTCAGTCAGTGTTTACGTGTGTATGTATCAGCCGATAATTAATATAAACTTTTGTTGATCTAAAATAAATTGCAATTCTTTTTTTTCCATTGGCTAAAATATAACATTTTTCTATGTGCGCTCTAAAATTAATCTTACGTGGCATAATCCTATTGTGGCGTTTTAAAATTATTAATCCTATGTGGTGCTTTTTTTTATTATAATTCTACGTAACGCTTTAAAAAAACTAATCTTACGTGGCATAAATCGATTGTAGCGTTTTAAAAATATTAATCCTAAGTGGCGCTCTAATAATTTTTAAGAAATTAAAATCCTACGTGGCACTCTAAAAACTCGGGAAAAAACTCCCCTTTATATATATATATATATATATATATATATATATATATATATATATATATATATATATATATAATTTTACGATAAACTTTTTGGTTTGAATTGTTAAATACGGTCCTATAATCCTTTTTGATAATGCAGAATATTTAAGCATACAATATCATATTGTTTATTTATATAATAGTTTACTTTTTGTAGTTTTATTTGTAAATAACTATACATGTTATTATTGACTTGAAATAATTTTTATTAAACTTAAATTACTTTTACTGAAATGAAAGCATTTTTAGCAAACTAGCTAAAATTATTTTTACTGATTAGAACTTATTTTTACATTCTCTATTTTTTTAAAAAAATTAAATATATTATAAATGAATCTTACTTTAAAGAACTTTTTAAAACGAATTTAATGATAAAAATAGAATCTAGTCATAGGATATTTATTAAAAGTTATGATAAAATTTGTATATATGAAATATTAGAATTATATCGATTATAAAACTCTATACAATATTTTTATCTTAAAAATTATATCCAAAAGTCGTTTACTTAGCATCATATGTGTTACAATAATACCTATTTGTTGCTTGTGTGGCGCGACACTTGGCGAAAAATTGGAATGCCAAGTATCGTTGTCTCGTGGCCTGACAGCGAGACTGGTTTTATTTATTAGTGATATGATATTAGATTGAGTATAATACACTAGTGGCGCGACACTTGGCGAAAAATTGGAATGCCAAGTGTCGCTGTCTCGTGGCCTGATTGCGAGACTGACTTTATTTATTAGTGATATGATATTAGATTGAGTATAATACACTAGTACTTGTATAATTTAATCAAGTACTTGTAATTAATTATTTGATTTTGTATTATTCAATCAATTATGGAGTGGTTTATTACGTACCATTCATTCGGTCACAAATTAATTCACAATTTCTATTTTGAACCAAATCTTATATTTATGTGTTAGAGGTTTTAGTTCGATAGGACACCTTTTCCGTACCTAAAAAAAATAAGCCAAATTCTACCTGATTGATTTGTCTAGTTGATAAAGACTTACACTTACTTGATTTTGATAGATCAGATTTTCTGATATTAGAAGCTTTTCTTTTTCATCCTTTCCATATGATTAGTTTGAATGCATGCAAAAGAAAAGGCCAACTGGAATAAAAACATAACTCTCTCTTTCCATTGCAAAAACACTAATACGTAGTAAGATTAAAAAATAAGGTTGTGTGTCAAAAAACAAAACCTAATAAGGTTCCAACATAAAAAAAATCTAAAACAAATTCACACTACCTAATCTCAAGAGAACAATTGAGCTTTATTAGAGGCTTGTACTTTCAACTCCAACACTTATTATCATATTTTAATTAATAAGTAAAAATCATAAAAAGTTGATATTTTGAAATATACATAACAACGAACCTAACAAAATAACACATGAATATGTTGTATTATAAGTACGAATCACCCTGCGATAACAATAATTTAAACAATGAATAGGAAAAATAGCTAGTAAAAAAAAAGAAGTCAAAGTAAAGTTTATAAAGTGTCAATTGAAACATCTAACCACTTACAGCACGACACTTGGCATTAATAACCGATCATAACTGGTTAAGGACCGATTTGGGAAGAAACCCCTCATAGTTGGGATCGTTTTGAATTAATTGAAAATAAGTACCTTTAAAAGAAGATTGCAAATAATTGGGACCCTTGGTGTCAATTTTTCCAAAAAAATAAATAAAAAATTAGCTCTTATGCATGAAAGCTCAATCTTGAGACTTACCAAGTGGTTAAACTTCTATCTTTATTAAAAAGCAGGAAAAAAATTCATATTAGACAATATGGTGAGGACTGAGGAGGAGTTTGCAACATGTCATGCATTTCTTTCTTTTTTTATGCTATTATGTTTTAACTAGTTTGTGGCCCGGGCGATGCCCCGAATTTTGTTTAAAAACAAAATGAAAAAATAACCTCAAGTTTTTTATAATTTACATGAATGAATGTTAATTAAGTAATAAAATGACATTATTGTGGAATAAAAGCAAGAAATAAAATAAAGTAAAAGGAAATTTTATTTTTGGTGAATCAACATGAAATAATTGTCCACTTGATGGGACAATAATGGTAATAAAAGATGGAAATTTCAAGGGGTGTAAGAGTTTAAATATGGTACAAATACTTATACTATGCGTTGTTATGTCATTATTTACGTGGCGCTATGTCATAAATCGCATTATGACATAAGAGTGACACATGTCGTCACCATGTTATCCCTTTGCGTCTTAATAATATTATAGATGCAACATTGTAGAAAATTTGGTAATTTAATTTGTTGTATACTTGATGTTAACTGCCTTCTATAGTTCTATTTGTTCAATTCGCAACAATAAGTCAAAAACTATAGTACAAACCACATTGCTAGATTTCTAAAAGAGTTTTGGGGTTGAAAACTAAAGTAGCGGATCCAGATTTTTTTTTCCCTTGCAAGTTTGGAGTCTCCAAATACACAATGAATTCAAACATGTCCAAAACTAATAATTCGGGATAAATTAACCCAAGTTCAATCACGACCTTGTTTGAACTTGAGAAAATGGTGACCTAAGCCGAGTAATTATGACTCGATCTAAAATCAATCCAACCCTAATTAACCTAGAAAATTGAAATCCAAACCCAACCTAGAAATAACCCGACCTAAAGATAATCCGACTTAAAGTATTGACCTAAATCGTACCAAATTTGAATAGAGTCCATATTATAGTCGAAACAAGTCAACTTTATTTCGAATTGAACCGACTTGAACATGTCTGACTCGAACCCCAACACAAACCTAGTAAGATGTATGAACCAATCGATTTGATCATGGCCGTACCCAATCTAAATACAACCAGAATAGACAAGTCCATTAACTTTATTAACCCTACGTGACCCAATCCAAGCATTTAAATCAACATTCACCCTATCTTAAACCCAACTCAAATTGTAGTGGACGACCAAATCTACATTGACCCGAACTAAACCCAACTCATACAGCGGATGGACAGCTGTTGCACAAATCAAAACTCCGTAGCTAGAAAGCCCCAATTCCCAAATACAGAACCAAAAAGATCAACAAAAAAAACCAGTCCAACTCTTTTCTGAATTCTGACTCAAGTCTCTTCACCCAAACTGCCGAAATTCAGGAGAGAGAAAAATCACCAGAGCAAAAAACTAAAAATCACTTTCTACTTCTTCAACCAGAACAAAAACTCCATTTTCGTAATTATTACAGAAAGCTTGAATAAACATAGATATGGAGGAAGAAAACAGTGAGATTAACAATGGCATAGTTGATACTGGAAAGGCTGAAAGATCGGTTTGGTTGATGAAATGCCCACTTGTAATTTCTAAGTCGTGGCAATCACGCGCTTCATCTTCCGACCCTCAACCCGTCGCTAAGGTTGTTCTCTCGCTCGATCCTCTTCGACCCGATGATCCTTCTGCCGTTGAGGTTTAATTTCTATCTCTTCCTTTTTTGTTGAGCTGAATTTGTTGTAAAGGTTTAAGCTTTATGCTGTTACAATTGTTTGAAGTTGATTTTTAGGTTTTAATTGAGGTTTTGTTGTTCTGAATTAATCTAGAAATTGGTTGGGTTTTGATTGATTAAGGGTTTTTAGTTGATTGAGTTAGGATAGGATGGATTGTGTATGGGATGAAATTAATTAGGTTTGATATATGAAATTGACTATGGTTTGGATATTTTATTTTGGTTTTGAGTGATTGTAGTTGTGAAAATGTCTAATTTTGTACTTCGTATATATTATAAGAGCTTTTTGCAATATAGTATATCTTTGTAACATTAAAGAAATCAACTTTTTAGGTTAGAAGTTACATTTTGACAATTGAAACAGATTGAGCAGAGTGATCTTTCAGAAAAGATGTGAGGAGAAGTGTACTGGGTTCATCCTTTACTTACTTTATAAGCATGGCTGTAATTGAGATAGTGATGAGAGTTTTGGGAATCGTTGGAAACATAGAGAGTGGTTGGGTGGTGGTTGTTCTTGCTTTCGTGGTAGGAGGTTGTGTTTAGCTAAGTAATATTGTTAGAGTTCAGTTATTGTTGGATATGCCTTTTATGTAATGGCTTCTTATGTGAATGACATAATAATTTGTTTGCATTTGCATCAATGTTGAGCAGTTCACTATGGAGATGAATGGCTCCGACATGGGTCCAAGGAGCTACTCCTTAAATATGTTTAAGGACTTCGTTCCCATGAGTATTTTCTCGGAGAGTCAAGGTGAGGTTTAATAGAATGGTTCACTTTCTCTTTCTTTTTGATTCTTTCAGCACTTGTGCTGTTGCATCCTCTCTTTAATTTCGTGTTTTCTGCTTTTGTTCTATTTATTTAAGTATCAATTTCTGCTCTGATTAATTTATGGGAGTTTGCCTTTGTTCCTCTGTTGATCCATAGGGTTATATTGGATAGTAACTTTTTTAATTCACAGGAATGGGGGGATGAGGAAGCGAACCCCCATCACTTGGGAGAAGATGGAGGGACTAACCATCCCTCTGTCTCCTAGATCTTCGGATAGTAACTTAAACTGAGGGATTGAAAGCTATATCAGAACTTTTTTTAAATCCTATGTTGCAACATCACCTCAGACTCTGCAGTCTGCACCATGTTTAATGACTAGGGAAAGGTAATCTTATTTACCTTACCAGGGAAGGTAAACTTTATTAATGTTAAGTTGTGGATAAACAATTTGAAGGGGGGAGGGGGGCTCTATGTTTACTCTAATAACAGTTACATCTTTAAGGTGTAGGTTTCCCGTTTTGTTGTTTTTGGACCATTCATTCATAGGGTTATGCAAAAGGCCATAAGGGTTTTAGTACTTAGTACGAGTACTTGATTGCATAACCACAAATTTTGGGATGCTAGGAATTCATGAATCAGTACAAAGAACCTAACATTTGGTATGCTGGTATAGGAAAATTAGGTAGTCTTCAATTAGAAGCAACCCATTAAGTAATGCTCATGAGTTTTCTTCGTTCCATCTCTAAATCTTTGTTTGTATTTATTAGCACTTCTGCCTATACCCCCTATCCCTAAAGAAAATTAAGAGTATATAGAAGGAAAAAAGAGAAAAGAACATCTTTTTTGGTTGCATTAGGCTAGTGCGATTCTCATTTATCGAGGTGACTATTTGTTGATCATTGTGCACTTGTCACCAATATTTGCTTGCACACAATGTAATATTCTTTCCTTGGACACCCTTTTTAATTTTTGTTCTGGTAAGTATAATGAAACTTTTCACATATATAGTTCAGTATAGGAATCAGGGCAGATAAATTGATAATATTTGATAAGGTTGATTTTTTACCTAATAGAGTTAGATAAATTGACGGATAACAAGTTCATATAAGTTCAAATTGAAGTTTAGTTCAAGGCTGATATGCATATAAGGGTCGTTTAGAGCTTATAAGTTAAGACGAATCAAGTTCAAGGCTTATAATCTTAGTTCAAAACTCAAGGCTAAGAGTTCAGGTAAGTGTTTTTAAGTAATTTAATTTCCATGTAAATTCAGGGATTTCTAGTGACAGGTGAATAACTTTAGTCTATATTGTCGATTGCTTCATTGCTTAGGTTTTTGCTCTGGTAATATGATCCATGATTATCTAGTAGCTATTATTACTATGCATAAGACTATAATTACAATTTTACCACTTCTAAATTAGTAAGACCATCACTTTGCTGATGTTGTAACCTACATATCTTCCTAAATTTGTTTTGCTACCTTTTTTAAGACTCTGTATTCAGACCTTTCCATATTCTTATTGCTCTTAGACCTCTCTTTATTTGTGGGTTGCCTGTGTTATTGTAATATTCGCTCCTGTAGGTAAGGTTGCGGTGGAAGGCAAAGTTGAGCATAAATTTGACATGAAGCCCCATAATGAAAATTTTGAGGAGTATGGAAGATTGTGCCGTGAAAGGACAAATAAGTCCATGATTAAGAACAGACAGATTCAGGTAAGGCATTTGTGTTAATAACTGTCTGTCTCCCTTTTTGTTCATTTCCTTTGCATTCCCAATCTTTTGCTGGAAGTTTTATTTGATTATGGGGAGACTAAACTTTGCATGGTTCCTTGACATCTTAAACAGGTGATTGATAATGACCGTGGTGTACACATGCGGCCTATGCCTGGGTTGTTTGGACTTGGTACTACTTCTAAGGTACGATTGCATTATTGTGCTCTCTCATTAATTCTCTCTGTTTATGATGCTTTGCTGCATATCTATATGGTAACCTCATTTCTTTCTGTGTTTGGTCCTTTTATTGGTTGTTGATATTTTATTTATAATTTTTTTAATTGTATCTACTACATTGTTTAGAATATTGATCTTGTTGCTCATGTTGAAATTTTGATTGTTAAATGCAAGCTGTACAACTCATTTGTACTTTCCAAACAATACTTAGTATCACATTTTTATATTAGTTTCCTCTATAATTCCTTGTAGTAAATATTGTTTTGATTACTACCCCCTCCTTCCTAAAGAAATTTCCACATTACTATCCTTGGTTGGTACAAGAAAAACTTCCAACTTTTTCCCATTTTGACTCTCCATTACGTCTATACCTTTTCATTTCTTTCAAAACATTTTTTTTTTTTAATTTTTTTTTAATTTTTTTTGTTCCCCTCTCATCATCTAACTCAGATAATTTGCATTTACATTAGTGCATGTAACTAGATTTTGTAAAACACATGCCTAAGTCAGCCATGAGATTCTTTTTGAGATGCAGGGCCTTGAATTATTTTACGATGCTCTTCCTCTCTCTTTTTGCCTAATGGTTATCATAACCATTGTCTCATCAGTATCTTGCCCGTAGTTCAGGTTTCGAATTATAACTTATCGAAAGATTGGTTAGTATATAATCAAATATGCCTGAGTGGCTCGAATGAGTCAAATGTCAATATTTTATATACTCGTCCCATTTCCTTGAATTGCAACAATTGCTTTCATGCTTGCCACACACTTTTGACTATTAATATTCTTCGCATTTTCTTTTCTATAAGTAGAACTATATACATCTCAATGATTTACCTGAAGGCATAGGTTTTCAGAGGCTAGCTTCATACTTATCTTCATGAACCGCCACGATGCCACCATGGCACCACCTAACAGGGAGATATAGTTCCTCAATACATTCCCCCATCTTTACCCAGTTCTGCCTTTTATTTCTACCTTGTGCATGTCAGCATGTCCAAAGGGTTCACCATTTAAAGGCCCTGTTGAAATGTGTTTGAGCTTATTGCTTTGTGTGAACAAGGTAACATCTTCTTGTTTTAGTGGTTTTTGGGAGCCGAGGGAGGGTTATTCAAAGCTGCAAAACCCTTTTTTTAGGCTACCATCTAGTGTCTATCTCACTCTGGTGAGGTGGTTGGTTTACGTCATCTTGGGTGCCTGCCCTGGCTGGCTTATACTGTTGGTTTTGTACCTTTGTTTACCTCATGTCGTTATTCTTTCATGAAAACCAACATGTTGGAATCACATCATTCACATGCATAGTTCACAAAGTGTGAATGTGTGATTCTCATAAGATTGGCTACTTAAGTAATCCTCATCTGAATTCTAGAAAAAATCACAGTACTATGTTTTTCTTGATATTTTATAGGAGAAGAAAAAGACAGCACCAGTTAAGCCAGTAGAGATGAAGAGAACCAGAAGGGATCGTGGAGAACTGGAGGACATCATGTTTAAGTTATTTGAAAGGAAGCCTAACTGGGCACTAAAGCAATTGGTCCAAGAAACAGATCAACCTGCTGTAAGCTTCTTTCTAGTTTAATTATGCAAAGGCCCCCATCCCCATTAATTTTATGTCACTAGAAAACCCGCAAAGATGAGCACTAAGCAGTATCTATGCCGAGGTCTTTCAGAGTAGGGGTGTCAAATAGGTCATTTGGCTCGCATTGATTTAGTTTGGGTCACATTCGGGTGGTGGGTTATTTACTTCCATTTTGGTTTAATTCAATAGGGCCATATTTGGCTTTTGATGATTATGCTATTCAAAGTAGTCATTACCTTATTGGCATGGGTTAGATGTCCCAGGGGATTGCATGTTACCGTAATATGTTTTTTTTTGTTAAAAAATTTAATTGAATGAAATTGTTAAGTATTCAAAGACTAGATCAAACGGAGATGAATGGATTAATTAGGAGTACATTTTAGACTAACCATTGGTTATAAATGTAATTGAATATAATTACTAGTCTCTATACGGTACTCATTGTCTAGATTAATTTGGAAGTTTTTTTTTTAATTTTTTTTAATTTTTAAAGGTTCATCTATCTTTCATATTCGAAGTACAAAATACCTACAAGATACTGAGTATCATAGGTTGGTCATTGGTGTAATCAATTAAGCGATCAAATGGTATAAATAAGTTGCCAAGTCTTTTTCATGTAAATTTGGAGGGTTTTTTTTTTTTTTTTTTTTTTTTTTTTTTTTTTTTTTTTTTTTTTTTTGTGTTTGTGTTTGTGGGGGAGGAGGGGGTTGTGTGTGTTAAAAGTGTATTGAAGTTACATCACTGAGGGTGTGTTGGCATATCATGTAGAGACTAGAGAGGAGTTGGCATGTGGGAATGGGATGATAACATTTTTAACTTAGGTTTGGGTTTTAGGAATAGTGTAAGTTTGTATAAAAAATCAATCAGTAACAGTCATATTGTTTTTCTAGTTGGTTTGGATCAAAATCAAGTTATCTAGTTTTATAATCTGACTTGTCTTTTTTTTTTTTTCCTTCAGCAATTTTTGAAAGAAATTTTGAATGAGCTATGTGTATACAACAAAAGAGGAACGAATCAAGGTACTTATGAGCTTAAGCCCGAATACAAGAAAGCAGTGGATAATACTGGAGCTGACTAAGTGTTCTCCTTGTGTTGTTCAATTCGATGTATCATGGTCCTGGAGCTAACAATGATGTCTGGAGACACGGTGGAAGTGGAACTGCTGTATGTTGAGTTGCTTAATTTTACCAATGTTCACCATATGGACTTGACATATAGTTGCCTCATGTTGCCCTTACATAAGAAGCCTTAATGTTAAGTACTCACACGATGGTGATGCATGTAAATTATACCCCTCCTTACTGTTCTCTTGCTCATTTTAACCTTTGTATTTGGTTGCTTGTCTAGTCGAAACAAAGGATTACATATAGCCAAAAAACTTCTTTTTACATTCATAGTATATGTGTACGCTTGAGATTAAAGAACAGACTAGCGATTCAGTGTTCGCTCTTGTAACATATAGGCGTGGGTTCCTTGAATTTCTCCCTGCTACTTTCTCTATTAGGATGAAATGTAAAATTAATCTTACAGGGCTAGGTGTAGGCACCAAGCATGTTTCATCAAGGCCTTAGCTGGATTTGGACTAGCATAGTCAGACCAGTTGGCTCATTTCCTTATTGTAATCTAGTCCTAACGGCTTCGTCCAGTTTTGGCCTACAGAATACTCGTATCTTTTTGCGTCTTTTTTTTTTTTTTTTTTGGAATTGTTCGCGCATTTGAGTGATTATAGGGTCTGTTTTGGAAGTGTACAAATGAGTTTTCAAAAGGAAATTGAGATCACATGAGAAAATTGTGGAATATATTTCAAACAACCATTACATAGCCATTGAAAATAATGGGAGCGAATATTTGGATCGCAAACCTTCCCAAACATATAAGCCCATGAGCTAAGATCTTGTTGGAAGTGTTGCTCTTTGCTAAGACAATGGTTCCAGGGACTTCATGTGTAGAAGCAATTATTTCTTGAATATCATCATTATGCGTATATATTTGTCATTTGTCAATTATACATCCAAATATCCAATCAATGAAATATTCGCCAACAAATAACGTGTAAGGAAAATTTAAATTAATCATCGCAATATAAAATTTTGAATTATTGTTTGCCTATTGAGTTCGAGTAATCAAATTGTTGTTGGAATGTATCAATTTTTAAAATGTCGTGTATTTGGCTTTAGCGTGTTAGAGGATTAATTTTTTTTTTTCTCCTCCAGTATTTACAGCTTTTCCCCCATATTATTTTGCAGTTGGACTTTGATTGTAATAAGTAAAACATGTGTTTGTAGCAAATATTTTTTTGTTATCATTATATATTGAATAAAAAAAATAAACGCATTGGGTCATATCCACATATTTTCATACTTCTCATTATTTTCTTTGAATAAGTGTTAATTGTAACACCCGTAAGTATTTCACCGTTAAAAATAATACAACCAATCAATCTTATCAATGTGCTAAACTTTCTTATGAAAGATTCCCACATCATTGTCTATTCCCATATCTTGCATGATGCATGAAGTAAATAGGCTTATTAGAAAGCTAATTTACATCTTTACATAAGGTAAAATTGCATGGCCTTAAGCTTTGACAAAGACAAATCAAGGAAAGAAAATAGTTTAACTAACCAATAAATTGACTGAAAAGAGTTCACTTATCAAGTGCTAAAGTTGAATTGAAAACATGCAAAAAACTGCCTTGATTTGAGCTTTACCAATTAATTCTAGATGAGCACAAATGGGCACTTTTGATGTGTTACCCACTAATTTGGTACGTCAGAAACACCAGCATATTCATACTTAGCAAGAAAATAAACGTACGATTGGAGAATATTCGTTCAAAGCCAACTATATGGAAGATTCTTCAAAAGTGTTTTCTTATCTCTTTAGCTGTAATTCCCGTTCGTTCCCTTTTGTTTATCCCGTTAAGGTGAGATTACTTTATAATTTCGATTAGTCATTGAAAAAGGAAAGTAGTGGGTGTAAGAGTAAAGTTATAGCCGTCTATAATAATTTGTAATATGAGACAAACACAAAGGAACAAATAAAAAGAAAAATAAGATGAATATTAAGAGACAAAGGAAGTATTAAGACTATTTTATTTTATTCATTTTTATATGTGGTGGCCAATTAGTTTATTTTTTTTAAAGTCTCATAGATGATACAAGACTTAAAATCAAATCTCGTCTATATCATCCTGTCATTTACTCTTTCTACACCAAATTAAACCTTTTATTTTTACTTAGTAAAACATAATTTTACAAGAATTTTCATCCAATTCTATCATCCATCATCCCACGATTGAATGAATGATTTAGGAGAGGGAGGTGCCAACTTGGGGGATATTACTCGAAGCAATTAGAGATGCCAAAGAGGTACTCCCACAACTTTAGACCCCCAAAAATTAAAAAAGGTGCAAATTTTCAGCTTTATTTAAGTCATGGGAAACATTTTCATTGTGATTTCATATTATACGTGATTGCCAAAATATGGTGACCAACAAGTGAAGGTGGATTGTGGGGTAGAACATACGGATTATATGATATGAGAGCTTGATGAGATTAGATTCTACTAATGTATAATGATGAAAGTGATGATATTTTTAGGGCATCTAATGAAGGCAATCCAATCAAAATTTGACCACCTTCAAGTCTTTATCATTGAGATTGAGCTTCAATTAACTATATATCATAGGGCTTATAGATGATCTATGAATCTAGATAAAATCAATGACTAGGTAAGTAAATAAAAATTACAGTAGCTTGCCAAATGGTGTTAGAAGTATACAAAAAAAAAAAAAAAGAGTCTGAGCTAATGTGAGAGGGAGGGCAAATTGTAATTTCATTCGAGTGGGCTCCGCTATAGTACCTCATCTATGGAACAATAGAAAACCGATTTTTTTATCTTAACTTTTTCTAGGTATTTATAATTGTGTTATGTATGATGACTATTATATATACCATGTACAAATGTAAAAATGATGTTACGTTGATATAATAGAAATGAAACAATGCGCAATTAATTAAATGTAGACTACGAGAATGAAATGAAACTTCTATGACCTCTATAATAGGTGCAAGAGCCATCTTCAAGATGAATGATATAATGAAACGACGGCCATATCAATCAAGGAGGAAAGTCTTCTCCATTGATAGTTGTAGTGGTAGTGTTTCGAAATGACATGCAGGTTGCTCTCAATTAAAAAAACAAAAACAAAAACAAATAAAAATAAAATAATTGGATAACAATTTCTCGATAATAATTGCCTTAGGTATACACTTTCAAAGTTAAATTTGTTAGAATTCACTAGGTGATCAACTTTGGTACTTTGTAGTTAATGACTAACTAAATAGATTACTTTTACATCTTAAAACTTGAGCAATTTGTGTATCATAAAATAATCGACCAACATATTAGGCTGCTAATTATTGGCACACAATGATAAGGGAGTTGGTGCTAGTCGTCGCATCCCTAAACTACAAGCGTGACTGCGCGAAGCCCTTAAACTCCAATTTTAGTACATTTGATACTATGATCTGTATGATAGCTTTAAGACATTCGAGTAGTTTTGAATGACAAAGTTTGGAATCAGATTCAAGAGTCTCCTCATTCTTTGCATTTTTTAAAACATTATTATAAATTATCAATGGCCCAATCACAAGTACAAAATGGTGAAATTGAGCAATGGCCCAATCTTTTTCACTATCTGTCATAGATACTTCATATCTTTTGGTAAGTAGGAAAAACTTGTGAGTATTCTTAATAGGGATTGAATCTCTAATCTCATGGTTGAAAGACCAAGCAAGTTTGCATCTCACAACCAAGAGGTTGTGGGATTAGAGGCACTTTGGGGTGAAGATTCCCTTACTCTCCCCCCCACTTCCAAAGTGCCTAGCCCGTTAATCCGAGCCGGGAAGACTTATGAGAGGTTCCAACCCTTCTCCTTACCCAAAAAAAAAAAAAAAAAAAACTCAGGTTGGAAGAATCTTTCCTTACTACTTGACCAACACTTGATTATACTAATCGCTATAGATATATAGCTCTAAACATTGGCCCCCCCTATCGTGGTTTGCTATTAGCAGCATCTAACAAATGCACAAGCAAAATGGAGGATTCTGGTGACAAATTTGAAGGGCGGATCTATCCAATATCTAATTTGTAGTTGTTGCGCCTCCTACACCTCACCCTTAAAAAAAAAAAATAAAAAAAAATATAATACTAAGTCCATTTCACACTATTTTTTACACTTTCTATTTAGTTACCATATTGAATATGAATATATACTGTTCATGCTAACAACATAAATATTTAGTTCATAATTTAAAAAACAATTTGAGTTTAGGTCAAGTAATTGATTAATACTCGTAGATAAGATAAGAATTTTACTTCACATCTCTCATCCTCTCCTCAGCTTGCTATTTTTGTACAAGGAGCTATGAAATTAAAGGGAGTATCTTATAATCTCATACAAATCTTTGCAAAATATAAATCCACTAAAAAAAAAAAAGTAACCTTGCAAAATTAACCCTTTTATTCTATCTTTCTGAATATCTTCAAACATCTTCCCACACCATCCCTACCTTAAAAGAAAATACTCCCTCCATTTTTAAATACTTGCTCCATTTCTTCATGCGCGGAGTTTTAGCAAAAATTGGAGAAAGTAATAAAATATGGAGGTAGTGGTGTTAGTGGAAGAATATAAATTGTAAAAAACAAAAGTAGTTGAAAGATTGTAAGGAGAGTGAACACGAAATTAATAAAATATAATTTATGTTGGGTCCACTAGTTGAGAGAAATTAATTAAATATTATAAAAGCTTAAGGAAATAGAGCAAATATTTAAAAACGGCCGAAAATAAAAAATGAAACAAGTATTTAAAAACAGAGGGAGTAGTAATTAAAAATAATAAAAAAAGAGTGAAAAGGACTTAAAAAATAATCCCATAGAGAAACATTTGTAATCAAATGTCAACCATGCCATGCCAGAAAAAGTAGTTTCAACATCAAGTATGTTCAACTAAAGCAAGTCACAAATTGCAGCAGAGTTGTACTATATAATCAAAGGTTTTTAACATGTTAATCTTAGGATTTAACATCATTTCATGTTAATATCATAGGAATTTGATCTAATGGCGTGGTTAATAAACACTAATACAATTAACTTACGTGTCGCCCCACAAAAAAAATCTTTTCTGATTATAATTCACATAAGATCCATTTATTTTGTGAATCTAAAAAAGGTGAGAAGATAAACAAAGTGGAGAGTGATCATCAGTAAAAAGAAAAGCAAGAGGCCATGCAAATCTTAGCTTGTATCTTGATAGCATAAAGTCATCATATCAATAGGATTTTCCAGTCAAAAGGGGCAAAAAATATCAACAAACACAAATTGGTACCTTCGTTCATGATTTCATTCATCCACCGATTTTTTGTTCAAGGTATTATTGCATACCAATAGCTTGATCATGCAATACATACATATAGCTTCAAAATTTAAATTTATACTCATAGTTTTAGATGGTGCCGCCTGTATTCTCTACGTTTTTACATTACGGCCTCCTTGTGACTTTAAGACTAGTAAAATTATTATCTAGGAATTTACGATTTTAAATAAAAGTAAGGGTGATGAAAAGTCTAATTTTCTAGTGAGC